TCTGCACATACCCATCCCGTTACCTCGGGCAGAAGGCGGGCTGCACCCTCCTGCCAGGAGTGGGAAAGCAGGTGCAGAGCCAGGAGCTACCATTCCCGGGAGCTGGGGTGGCCCGAGGCCCCCCGGCTGCATGTATGCTCAGGTATACAAGCCTGCTTGCCCCTCGTCCACAGGTAAGGGGCTCGTGTGGTGAGGTGTAGCCCACAGCAGCCTATGCCCATCTCACGAAGTGTGGGCACCCTCCTGCTGAGAAAAGGGGCCCCAGCCCCGCCCCGCGAGTCCAGGTGGGTCTGGTGACGAGAGGGTGTGGGAGCCACCACCAATGATTCCTCCTGGCGCCTGCCCTCGGGACCCTGGGTGCGGCCCCCGAGCCGTGAGGAGTCCCAACCCACCCGAGCAGGGACCACACAGGGACGCCCACGTCGGGGGAATGGAGGCCCAGGCACGGGAGCGAAGGAACCTTCCGTAACTGTTACCCAGGCCGTGGGTCTCCCTAGATGCCGGAGTGTGCCAGCACAGGGCCCCGCTGCCCGGGCACGGTGGTGCAGGGGACAGGCAGGGGTGCCCTGCTGGCCACAGCAGCCCCCCTCCGTGGCCCTGTGGCAGGCACCCCTGCCCTGCCACGGACACTGTGCCCACCTGCAGCCTGGCCTTGCCCCTCCCTACCACCTGTCCGCCACGGCCCTCACCGCCTCCAGCTAGCAGCCAAATCATTGGCTTTATTCACCATCTTCCCCACGGCGAGGCTGGTGAGCAGGGACACTGGCCATTCGGGTCAGCAAACACTTGGGGGCGGGAGGAGGGTGGTCTGAGGAAGGGAGGGGACCTGCGGGCGGGCCTGCCTGCTCCTGGTCTCAGCTAGGCCCCTCAGTGGGCACCCATGGTGGGTTCTCTGACCCCTGCGCCTCAGTGTCCTCACCTAGAGGTTGGGGGTCACTGCCAGGGTGACAATGTCCACATGGAGGGCCTGAGGCCTCCCGGGCTCACTGCAGGTGGTGGTCAGTGTCATCGCTGCTGTTCTGCCTCTGCTCCTGTCCACAGCCCTGGAGCCTCTGTGAGCACAGGCCCTTCCAGAACACTCCGTGCACTGCACCCAGCTGGCCTCCCGGCCCCGGCAGGCATCCAGACCCTCATCTCCCTTTAATAAAGGAACCCCAAGCCCTGCTCTGGAGGGAGATGGGTCGTCACATCCCCAGTTCCCAGCAGTTGAATGGAGAAAATGGCTTTCCAACTGATTTCACGGCACAAGGAACATGTGATGTGTGCTGGGGAGGCTGCACCAAGCTTTCGGGACAAGCTGTCGAGGATGAGCAGTAATTGGAGATTTGCTGGGAATAAACCTCACAGAACCAAACCCCTTTAAGTACGGTCTATAAAGCAGGTCAGGTGACAACCTCCCGGGTCGCCTCTGCAGGGACGCTACTGGGGACGGACACGCGCCTGAGGCCCCACTTACAGACACACACGAGCAAGGACCCCGGGCACACTTGCACCCCTGCACGCGAAGCCACGGGTCACACCCAGGCACCCAGGCCATACCCGTCACTTACGTGCAGATCCACACGTGGCATGCACACACCCTTCCAGACGGACATGCAGACGGCCCAGAAAGAAACACAGGACCCCGGTACGCACAGGTGTGCCCAGCCCAGCGCAGCCACGTGGAGACACAGGGGCCCCGGCACACACTCTGCTCTCACAGAGCCACCCACGAGCTGCACACAGGGCGGGTGCAGGCAGAAGCCACACGGCCTACCCACTGGAACAGGCAGGCACACACCCGCACGTGCACGCACACGCACACACACAGGCCTCGACCTCAGTGTGCATGCTCAAGTGGCCGAGGGTCCCATGGTGAGGGCCTGGATTTAGAGGCAGGGTCGTAGCCCCCCTCTGCCCAGTCCAGCTGGCCCAGCCCTGACGCCACTGGTGGGCAGTGCTGGCAGCCACAGACAGCCCTGGGGGCCCAGTGCACATAAGCGATCCGGGCGCTGAGCTCACAGTGCTTTCCAGGCCTGGCCCTAGCCACACCACCCTGCCTGCTCCTACTGGACGAGGGTCACCCGGCTTGGTTCCGGCTCCTGCAGTGCCAGAAATACCTCTGCTTCTGGGAGGGCCGGGACAACAACCTGCACCGTGCAGCGCCCACCGGCACACACCTGGGACCAGCACACACACCTGCCCGTGCCAGGGACCAGCACACACACCTGC